AGGTAGATCGGTTTTAAACCATTTATCACATACACACATTTTCATGGACTGCAGGAAGGCTTTCGACACAGTTCCTCACGAGATTAGAACAAAAACTAGAAGACCAGGCACGTTTAACAGGAAAGGCACTGCAGTGGATCAGAGAATACCTGATAGGGAGGCAACAACGAGTCATGGTACATGATGAGGTGTCATATTGGCCGTCTGGGTTTCCTCAGTCGTTCATATTTAATTCCTACTTTGAATGCTTCTGTATTCAGCTTCTCAAGGCACTGGTGCTCATGTTTGTTTTCCAGGATATGTCTGATAGTTCTTATTTTATTTTGTCCCAGTCAGTTCTATGGTTGCTGAAATTAAACTTACTGAGCATCCCTTGTCTTAAATTAGAGCTGCAGTTCCCAAACCCAGAGTTTATTCTCCTTCGTATTTATGTGATGTTGTAATCAGAGTATGTATATTTTTTTGCGACTGTTATGTCTCTGATTAATTCGTCGTTGTTTGCGAATATCAAATCCAGTGCATTTTCATTTCTAGTGAGATCAGTTATCTGTTGGTTCAGTGCGAACTTTTCACAAAACCTTGTTAGTCCCCTGGTATGTGCCTGTTGAGCCAGGCCACTTCCAGGAGATATTTCTGGAACAACATTGTGTAGAGCTATCTTCCATTTTAACTGTGAGAGATTGAAATCTCCAAGGAGGATATTTGGTGTGTAATTCTCTAGCCTATCCAGACAGCTATCTTCCTAAACTAATTTGTGAATTCCGCAGCAGTTGCTGATGGTGGTTTATATAATGGATAATTACCAGATTCCTGTTTTCAACTTTAATACCTAACATTTCTACTGTATCGTTCGAAAAATTCAGCAGTTCTGCACAACAGCACAGCGCTGTATAGCCCTTGTGGCTTAGCGCTTCTTTTTGATTATAATAATAATCTGCACAACAGCAGGTACACTTTACATGAAGTCCTACTCCTGTGACTTATTAATTCTGTCACATCTATACATGTTAGTTTATCTTAATCTCACCATCCAAAACATCCTTTGTGTGTGTTTCTATAAATGCTCTAAACATGACATTTGCTTCTGAGAGAAGCCCACTAATATAATTTTGTAACTGCCACACTCATGCCAACAAACACTGCTAGGTGAGTGCACACACACACACACACACACACACTAACAACCATATATAGATGAGAGTAAACATAAGCACACGTGCTTCATTCATGCTAGAAAAATGGCAGAGAAACAAGGGCGAGAGAGAGAGAGAGAGAGAGAGATGATGGAGGGTGAAGCAGCTAGGAGTGATACACTACCTGAAGAACCAACTGAGGCAGGTGTGTGAAGGGTGATGTAATTCACTTAGAAGAGAAAGGTAAGGGGGAAGAGGTCACTGAAAATGGAGGAAACAAAAAAGTCCCTTGATTTGTATTCCCTGGAATGCAGGCGAAAAAGATACATGATAATATACACTTGGAAAATCCTAGAGGAATTTGTACCAAACTTGCACACGAAAATCACTCCCTATGAAAGCAAAACACTCGGCAGGAGATGAAATATCTCCCAATGAAAAGCAGGAGCGCCATGAGTACACTAAGAGACAACACAATAAGTGTCAGGGGCTCAAGACTGTTCAGTTGCCTCCCAGCATACAAGAATCAAATCAAAGTTTATTCTCTATAAGGATTACAATGCGGGGTTTACAGATTTTGGTTATTGTGTGGTTTACATGTAATAAAATACTAATCACAGAGGGGGCCACTAGGACACCTAGCTGGCTAGGCATTTCGGGCAAACTTAGATTAATTCTTAACCCTAAATTATTACAAATTGTGGAGTAAGTTGACTAAATACTAAGTGACTAAATACTAGTTTGTGAGTTTAGCAATGTGAATGCTTTTGTTATGGCACAATACATAGTTTCTATATTGGAGTATCACAGGTAAACATATGACTAGTTAGGAATCATTATTTTAAGATTAAGATACGTATTTCTGTGCTTATAGTCAAATGGGTGAGTGAGTGTAGGTGTGAACCACCAGGTGGTGCTCGACAGGGACCTAAACTCAGTACTTGATAGCCGGGCTGTGGCTCTTACGTCAGTTTACATGCTGCCAGAAATAACAAGCCTGGTTGATCAGGCCCTGATCCACCAGGAGGCCTGGTCACAGACTGATCTGCGAGGATGTTGATCCCCAAAACCCTCTCCAGGTATATTCTAAGTATGCCCCTGTGTTTATGTTGCCCATTATTACCAGGTTGCTCTTTGTTGATTATAGTTACAGACAGCTGCATTATTGTAATCAAAAAGAAGCGCTAAACCACAAGGGCTATACAGTGCTGAAAGACAGCTGCAACAGCTCTGCATTTGCTAGCTGTGTTCACAATACCCAATGACTTCTTTCAAGGCATCAGGCTCATCATCAAAGTCTGTAAAAATAGAGGACATGATCACTTGGCAAGAGAAAGGTGGTTCATTTTTTTTTTTTTTAACCTGATTGACTTGACAGACTTTACTCATTGCAGGTTTGTCAAGATAGGTACCGCATAATTAAGGTCAAACTTTTTCCCATTACTTGCTTATTGGCCAATAAACTTTGCTTTCAAAGTGTGACCAGATGCAGGTTCTTAGACCATAACTTTTATTTCCTATAACAAAGGAAAGAGGTTTAGATGCTTTGTCATTCCACTTTTTCAAGTTGTCTTGGTCTTTCATACAGGGAGGCCTTGCTTTACACATCTTCACTTTAAGACATTCCACTAAAACAGCAGTTTTCAATTATATACCCATTCTTCATTTATTCAGACTTTCTACAATAAATATATTCAACATTCACTATAACCTAAGGACAAAAATATTTTAAAATAGTGTGTACTGTATATGCATTTTCTCAGCCTAGCTCTATTGTTCGCTTAATATATGATATTGTAAAAATGTTATCGGGCTTTTACCTGGAGAGAGTTCCGGGGGTCAACGCTCCCGCGGCCCGGTCTGTGACCAGGCCTCATGGTGGAACAGGGCCTGATCAACCAGGCTGTCATTGCTGGCTGCACACAATCCAACGTATGAGCCACAGCCCGGATGGTCGGGTACATGCATTTGAAAAGCGCTATACAGTAGTACCTCGGTACTCGAACTTAATTCGTTCTGGAAGGCTGTTTGAGTGCCAATCTGCTCGAGTACCAAACGAATTTTTCCCACAAGGAATAATTAATAAAAAATTTCCATCTCTATTGTGACTAACCAATTTTCTTTTTGGTTGGCTGTTACCACTAATCTTCTTAAGCCCCATGGTGAATTATTTATACAAATAATTTAAAAAAAAAATGTGAAGAAACATGAAATAGTTTACAGTGAATTTTAGCAGAGTTTTGCACCGAGTGACAACTGCAGGGAGACTGACACACGTTGTTTGGTCGAGTGCCGAGCAAACGGTCAACACCAAACCATTTTTTTTACTGAAGACAGCATTCAAATACCAAATCGTTCGAGTTGGGAGCTGTTCAAGTACTGAGGTACTACTGTGTTTTTACTTTACAATGATTTTCGCTTTACAGTAGTAGTCCAGAACCTAACCTGCTGTATGAGCAGGGCCTTCCTGCATGAGCAGTCTTGCCTTGAAACCTATGGCATATTCCTTGGAATGTTACCTTCCAGAGAATCTGTCACATTATGAACATATATCTTGAAAGGAATGTAACTATTACCTCTTGCACAGTTTCTCTCACAGTGAAGAGCAACAAAGACAAAGACTCATCCCAGTCTAGGAAAATGCAGGCAATATATTCACATCATTGATTTCAAAGTGTGATGGAACCTTTCCAGTGTACCTTGTGACTGAGGATAAACTGCAGAAAAAGGACAGGTTAAAAGCTGAAAAACTTTCACCATAAAACTGAAACCTTGGTCACTTTGGATAGTTTGTGGGATTCCCATTTGGGATTGAATTCTAATGAGAGCCTTTAAAATTACTTTGATATTAATACTGTACTGCAAGTGTGTCTGTGTCTCATTAATTTACTGGTTTTTCCAAACTATGTATACAATATCTTACTTTATTAGTGTATCGCCTCCTACAACATCTTCCAGACCTTCACACTTCACCTTCCACAATATACAAGACTCCTAATCATACTTCAGCTTCACAGTATTCAAGACTATGGAGCTTAAGTCATCTCCACTCTGAGGGACTGCCCCCTCAAGAACTGTCTCCAAGGTTGATGGACTGATTACACCACTACTCCTTTTGTCTCTAAATTTTTTCTCCTCCACATTTGACTGAAGAAGCCTCCTGAGTAGGTGAGACTTCAACAAGAAAGATACCCAACTGTTGCACTTGTCTTACTCTCTCAGGTAATATTAAAGGTAACAACTTTGTGTTATTATTATTATAATCAAAAAGAAGCGCTAAGCCACAAGGGCTATACAGCAACAACTTTGTGATCGCTTGCAACAAGCTTTTCAGTGATCTCTAGATTATTGACAAGGGCTTCTTTGTTTGACAAAACCAGGTCTAGTAGATAATTACCTCTGGTAGGCTGTTATAAATTGCTCCAGGGTGGCCCATAGCCTGGTGGCTAAAGCTCTCGCTTCACACGATGAGGGTCTGGGTTCAATTTCCAGCAAGGGCATGTTTCTTTATGCCTGTTCTCTTTGTTCATCCATCAGTAAAACGGGCATCTGGGTGTTAGTGGACTGGTGTGGGTCGCATCCTAGGACAAAACTGACCTAATTTGCGGGAAATGCTCTGCATCACCGGGGGCTTTCTATGTAGTAGTATGTCACTGATGTCAGCTATGGTCTGTATACCTTGTACATGTTCTTGTAGAAATAAAAATATTACTATTATTCAAAGAGCAGTCCTGAAGTACTTCCATGAAGTGACTGGACTCCAAATAACTGTGCAAAGAAGTTCAGTCAAGTAGTGCAGGTGTTGTCTTCAGGCTTAAAAATTATGATTTTTTAAAAGTCTAAGTTTTATTAATAAAACTACATTATTTTACTGATATTTTTTATTAATATTTTAATACTGCTACAAAGATGAACCAACAAATACAGAACCCAAGAAGTCATCTTCTGGCTTCTTTGACAATTCTTTCTTTTTCATTTTAATTTCTCGCCTCTTTTTCTTTTTTTCTGCAATCCTGTTCCTGATTAGTTCATTTTTCTTCTTCCTTACTTCACTCTTGCTTAAAATTTCATTTTCTAACTCCTTCTGCTTAAATACAAACATTTTCTCATTTCCTGTAATTTCTTTCTTTTGACTTTCTGCTTGAAGTTCTTGCTTATCATTCTTCTTTTTCTTCTGTGTTTTAGCTAATTTCCTCTGGTTCTTTTCACTTATTTCAGATGTTTTGATGAAGTGGTCAGTTTCTCGGCGCACCTGCGAGATCTCGGCCCCCATTCTCTGTCGATGGACTTCACGTTCGTACTCCAGACGCTGCTTCAGGAAAGCCCACTTAAATCTGAAAAAAAAATATAAAAGTAACATTGCAATAGTGATTAACATAAATATATATTTCAAACAGGCATATGAAAGGGGGATACGAAAACAATGAGGCAGATTTTTGCATATTTATGGAATTACAGGTCCAAACTGTCCAAACGTAGATCTACGTTCGCGTGCGTAGCACTCTGAACGTAGATCTATGTTTTTTACATGCTTTCTTATGGAGAAAATCAGAGCGTTTGGACAGTTTAAGGGTTAAAAACAGTTTTTATGCAGAGCGTGTGGCACAGGTTAGGGTATGTAGGAGGAAGGAAGGGCACTATTTTCCAGTGCAAGCAGGACTTAGACAAGGATCAGTAATGTCACATTGGTTATTTAACAATTTCAATGGCCATCATGTAGAGGGTTGGTGATCAGTTCAGGGAAGCAGTATCTGCAGTACCCTGGAAGTGATCACTGACTACCTATCATTTAAGTTCTGGTAATCACTTTCTACCAAGACTTACTACTACAGACAAAAAGAAATGGGCTCAGAAGAATATGTTATGTCTGTGCACACACAACATGCTCAGTACATTGCAGACACATGCTTAAAGTGTGAAGAGTGTAAAACATTGCTGTGTATGAAGCTGTGTATGCAGCAGTTCTAGGAACATCACCCCTGCCTCTATATATGTATGTATATATTAAAACAGTAGATATGTTAAACATTTATATCTGAGTGTTTATGTTGCCATGTAAACATATTTTGTACACAATGTACTGATAACACTCCTAGTGCAGGTATTGTATTTCATACAACAGGCAGATATGTGTACATTATGCATGATATTTCATGGGCCACAAAAATTACTGGAAAATGTAAAAAGTTACAAAACCCCCCCAAAAAAATGAATATAGCAAATAGCAAGGTGATGAGAATAAGAAATCTAGGTCATAAAAGATTGGAATACAGATTAGATAGAAGGAGAATGGAGTAAATGATGTACATATTTTGATAACTGAGGATGGATGTTTTGGTTAATGGGTCAATGACAATTAGAATCACAGAATATACAAGGTAAAGACAGGAGGTGGAATATCATGGTATCTGCAGAAAAAAGTAGTTTATCAGAAATTGGAAACAACAGAAATGCACTCTAGAGAAAAGGTCCAAACACTAGTGAGACACTTTCTTTGAATGTTGCTGCAAAAAAAAAAAATATTGAGGTTTGACACCAGTACACTGTAAATATTTTGCAGGGTACGTGAGGTGAAGAAATTAGATAATAGTGTGGTAGTCTCAATAGAAAGGAAGACAAGTTGTTGTGATGGTTTAGTCAATAATAAATAACAGAATGATGGGAAGACCATTAAGTTGCATAAATCTGGAATGCATGAAAGTGTGTGAAATCCCTGGAAGGGTTAGAAGGGAATGAAAAAAAAGCACTGGGAAGTAAGGGCTTGGAAGAGAGTTAAGATAAATGTTGCTGGAGTATGACTAAGTCATACTTGAAGAGATGTAGGGAAAAGTAGTCAGTCACACTTGACATCTTCAGCTGGAGAGAACAATTCCTGTGCTTGGAAGAATGTAATGAGATTTTGAAATCAATTAGTGTTAATTATACTGAGAGAGTGGGTGAGATGTTATCAACAAATTTTGTTGAAAATAAGAAAAAGTTTTGGAGTGAGATTAACAAGTTAAGGAAGCCTAGACAACAAATGGATTTGTCAGTTAAAAATAGGAGAGGAGAGTTATTAAATGGAGAGTTAGAGGTATTGGGAAGATGGAGGGAATATTTTGAGGAATTGTTAAATGTTGATGAAGATAGGGAAGCTGTGATTTCGTGTATAGGGCAAGGAGGAATAACATCTTGTAGGAGTGAGGAAGAGCCAGTTGTGAGTGTGGGGGAAGTTCGTGAGGCAGTAGGTAAAATGAAAGGGGGTAAGGCAGCCGGGATTGATGGGATAAAGATAGAAATGTTAAAAGCAGGTGGGGATATAGTTTTGGAGTGGTTGGTGCAATTATTTAATAAATGTATGGAAGAGGGTAAGGTACCTAGGGATTGGCAGAGAGCATGCATAGTTCCTTTGTATAAAGGCAAAGGGGACAAAAGAGAGTGCAAAAATTATAGGGGGATAAGTCTGTTGAGTATACCTGGTAAAGTGTATGGTAGAGTTATTATTGAAAGAATTAAGAGTAAGACGGAGAATAAGATAGCAGATGAACAAGGAGGCTTTAGGAAAGGTAGGGGGTGTGTGGACCAGGTGTTTACAGTGAAACATATAAGTGAAGAGTATTTAGATAAGGCTAAAGAGGTCTTTGTGGCATTTATGGATTTGGAAAAGGTGTATGACAGGGTGGATAGGGGGGCAATGTGGCAGATGTTGCAGGTGTATGGTGTAGGAGGTAGGTTACTGAAAGCAGTGAAGAGTTTCTACGAGGATAGTGAGGCTCAAGTTAGAGTATGTAGGAAAGAGGGAAATTATTTCCCAGTAAAAGTAGGCCTTAGACAAGGATGTGTGATGTCACCGTGGTTGTTTAATATATTTATAGATGGGGTTGTAAGAGAAGTAAATGCGAGGGTCTTGACAAGAGGCATGGAGTTAAAAGATAAAGAATCACACATAAAGTGGGAGTTGTCACAGTTGCTCTTTGCTGATGACACTGTGCTCTTGGGAGATTCTGAAGAGAAGTTACAGAGATTGGTGGATGAATTTTGGTAGGGTGTGCAAAAGAAGAAAATTAAAAGTGAATACAGGAAAGAGTAAGGTTATGAGGATAACAAAAATATTAGGTGATGAAAGATTGGATATCAGATTGGAGGGAGAGAGTATGGAGGAGGTGAATGTATTCAGATATTTGGGAGTGGACGTGTCAGCGGATGGGTCTATGAAAGATGAGGTGAATCATAGAATTGATGAGGGGAAAAGGGTGAGTGGTACACTTAGGAGTCTGTGGAGACAAAGAACTTTGTCCTTGGAGGCAAAGAGGGGAATGTATGAGAGTATAGTTTTACCAACGCTCTTATATGGGTGTCAAGCATGGGTGATGAATGTTGCAGCGGGGAGAAGGCTGGAGGCAGTGGAGATGTCATATCTGAGGGCAATGTGTGGTGTGAATATAATGCAGAGAATTCGTAGTTTGGAAGTTAGGAGGAGGTGCGGGATTATCAAAACTGTTGTCCAGAGGGCTGAGGAAGGGTTGTTGAGGTGGTTCGGACATGTAGAGAGAATGGAGCGAAACAGAATGACTTCAAGAGTGTATCAGTCTGTAGTGGAAGGAAGGCGGGGTAGGGGTCAGCCTAGGAAAGGTTGGAGGGAGGGGGTAAAGGAGGTTTTGTGTGCGAGGGGCTTGGACTTCCAGCAGGTGTGCGTGAGCGTGTTTGATAGGAGTGAATGGAGACGAATGGTTTTTAATACTTGACGTGCTGTTGGAGTGTGAGCAAAGTAACATTTATGAAGGGGTTCAGGGAAACCGGCAGGCCGGACTTGAGTCCTGGAGATGGGAAGTACAGTGCCTGCACTCTGAAGGAGGGGTGTTAATGTTGCAGTTTAAAAACTGTAGTGTAAAGCACCCTTCTGGCAAGACAGTGATGGAGTTAATGATGGTGAAAGTTTTTTCTTTTTCGGGCCACCCTGCCTTGGTGGGAATCGGCCAGTGTGATAATAAATAATAATAAATATACTGTCTGTGCATCTCAATAAAGACAGTAATAATTTTACTTCACAGACCTACAGAAAGCATTTGATACCGTGGACCACGACCTCTGCAACACAACTGTCCTCAAAGATTAAGGTTATACCATGAATTAAGGGAAGATTCTAGACTTCACCTTATGAAAGCAGACAGAGCAAATGAGTAATTATGGACAAGGTAGATTACAGGGGGAAAATAAATATGAAATTAGAAGACAGGGAAACTCAAGCCCCTCCTAAATGTCATATATTATATGCAAGTGTGGTATCCAGGGGAGCTACCATACCTACCACATGACTTTCTACAATAAATACTACTCACCTTTCATCCTATATTAAGGCTATATTAAGGCTTATGAGAGGTTTTTACAAACCAGAAGTCTTATAAGAAGAGCAGAGTATATGAAGAGTAAAAGAAAGGTGAAGAGAGTGGTGAGAGTGCAAAAGGAGAGCAGATGATAGAGTGGGAGAGGCACTGTCAACAAATTTTAATGAAAATAAGAAAAAAAATTGGAGTGAGTTAAACAAGTTAAGAAAGCATACGGAAAGTATGGATTTGTCAGTTAAAAACAGAGTAGGGGAGTTAGTAGATGGCGAGAATATTTTGAGGAACTTTTAAATGTTGAGGAAGAAAGGGAGGCGGTAATTTCATGCACTGGCCAGGGAGGTATACCATCTTTTAGGAGTAAAGAAGAGCAGAATGTAAGTGTGGTGGAGGTACGTGAGGCATTACGTAGAATGAAAGGGGGTAAAGCAGCTGGAACTGATGGGATCATGACAGAAATGTTAAAAGCAGGGGGGATATAGTGTTGGAGTGGTTGGTACTTTTGTTTAATAAATGTATGAAAGAGGGGAAGGTACCAAGGGATTGGCGGAGAGCATGTATAGTCCCTTTATATAAAGGGAAAGGGGACAAAAGAGATTGTAAAAATTATAGAGGAATAAGTTTACTGAGTATACCAGGAAAAGTATACGGTAGGGTTATAATTGAAAGAATTAGAGGTAAGACAGAATGTAGGATTGTGGATGAGCAGGGAGGCTTAAGAGTGGGTAGGGGATGTGTAGATCAAGTGTTTACATTTAAGCATATATGTGAACAGTATTTAGATAAAGGTAGGGAAGTTTTTATTGCATTTATGGATTTAGAAAAGGCATATGATAGAGTGGATAGAGGAGCAATGTGGCAGATGTTGCAAGTATATGGAATAGGTGGTAAGTTACTAAATGCTGTAAAGAGCTTTTATGAGGATAGTGAGGCTCAGGTTAGGGTGTGTAGAAGAGAGGGAGAGTACTTCCCGGTAAAAGTAGGTCTTAGACAGGGATGTGTAATGTCACCATGGTTGTTTAATATATTTATAGATGGGGTTGTAAAAGAAGTAAATGCTAGGGTGTTCGGGAGAGGGGTGGGATTAAATTATGGGGAATCAAATTCAAAATGGGAATTGACAGTTACTTTTTGCTGATGATACTGTGCTTATGGGAGATTCTAAAGAAAAATTGCAAAGGTTAGTGGATGAGTTTGAGAATGTGTGTAAAGGTAGAAAGTTGAAAGTGAACATAGAAAAGAGTAAGGTGATGAGGGTATCAAATGATTTAGATAAAGAAAAATTGGATATCAAATTGGGGAGGAGGACTATGGAAGAAGTGAATGTTTTCAGATACATGTACTTGGGAGTTGACGTGTCGACGGATGGATTTATGAAGGATGAGGTTAATCATAGAATTGATGAGGGAAAAAAGGTGAGTGGTGCGTTGAGGTATATGTGGAGTCAAAAAACGTTATCTATGGAGGCAAAGAAGGGAATGTATGAAAATATAGTAGTACCAACACTCTTATATGGATGTGAAGCTTGGGTGGTAAATGCAGCAGCGAGGAGACGGTTGGAGGCAGTGGAGATGTCCTGTCTAAGGGCAATGTGTGGTGTAAATATTATGCAGAAAATTCGGAGTGTGGAAATTAGAAGGTGTGGAGTTAATAAAAGCATTAGTCAGAGGCAGAAGAGGGGTTGTTGAGGTGGTTTGGTCATTTAGAGAGAATGGATCAAAGTAGAATGACATGGAAAGCATATAAATCTATAGGGGAAGGAAAGAGGGTAGGGGTCGTCCTCGAAAGGGTTGGAAAGAGGAGGTAAAGGAGGTTTTGTGGGCGAGGGGCTTGGACTTCCAGCAAGCGTGCATGAGCGTGTTAGATAGGAGTGAATGGAGACGAATGATACTTGGGACCTGACGATCTGTTGGAGTGTGAGCAGGGTAATATTTAGTGAAGGGATTCAGGGAAACCGGTTATTTTCATATAGTTGGACTTGAGTCCTGGAAATGGGAAGTACAATGCCTGCACTTTAAAGGAGGGGTTTGGGATATTGGCAGTTTGGAGGGATATGTTGTGTATCTTTATACGTATATGCTTCTAAACTGTTGTATTCTGAGCACCTCTGCAAAAGCAGTGATAATGTGTGAGTGTGGTGAAAGTGTTGAATGATGAAAGTATTTTCTTTTTTGGGGATTTTCTTTCTTTTTTGGGTCACCCTGCCTTGGTGGGAGACAGCCGACTTGTTGAAAAAAAAAAAAAAATATTTTAAGGTAAGTAATGAGCGTACTATATCTGTAATTTACTTTGTTTTTTAGTGCCAAGTTCTATTGCTAACTAAATGTGTATTGTAAATTTGTTATTTGGAATTTATATGCATTTATAAAAGAAAAAAAGGGCATCCTGCTTTACAGCTGTAGCCTGGAAGCTAACCTGCCGTGTAAGTGGGGTCCTACTGGGAAACGGCCAATGTGTCAATAAAAAATATTAAAATGTATGTATAGTTAGAGTTAAGTCCCATTATAAATGGAGAAGTTCAAAGTTGAATTAAACACTACACTCACTAACTACAGAACTTTTAACCATGCCTCTACCAAATATTGCAATGCTTCTCCTTTCATCACATCACCAGTTACACTGTTAACCTACAATCATTACATGTCACCAAAGTAAAAACTTTACTAGTTAAAATCAATTTTATTTTATTTCATAAACAAGCATTATACCTCATAATAATTATACTGTATAGTAACTATCCAGATGTAATAATTTTCTTAAAAAACTTAATTTTAATTTATTTTGACAGAACTGTGAGTGTAGTAGATATTAATTTAACTTTATTGTTCCCTATTTTAAAAAACTGGAATAATAACCCCATGATAAGACTCGAGCCCCCCTCCCCCAAAGTACTCGAGGGCCTGGTCCCAAATCTGCACATTGCCATAACAACATACTGGAGCATGAGATATGGGAGGACGTGCAAAATAAACCCAATGAGGATCATGGGTGCAGTGGGGACAATAAGGGAGCATTGTATCAACATTGGTGGCCCCAGACCTTTCAACATCTTACCAGAAGACATCAAAAACAAAGCTGGAAAAGTGTAGAAGCCTTCAAGAGGAAACTGAACAAGTATCTTCACTAGGCGCCAGATCAACCAGGCTGTAATGGATATGTGGGGCAGCGGGCCTCCAGCAGCAATAGCCTGGTTGACCAGGCACGCACCAGACAAGCCTGGCCCATGGCCGGGCTCTGAGAGTAGACTCTCAAACTCGTCAAAGGTATATCAAAGGCACTGGAATAATAACTCCATGATAATAACCAGGTTCACACACTACATTATTATAAAACAGAGTACAGTGGAACCTCAAAAATCGAACTGCTCCCAACACAACCAATTATGTAAGTGTATTTTTGTAAGTGCTTTTATAAGTGTATTTTTAAGGGTCTGAAATGGACTAATCTAATTTACATTATTCCTGATGGGAATAAATTCATTCGGTAAAGGCACTCGAACAGACTTCTGGACCGAAGAAAGTTCGATATTTGAGGTTCCACTGTATAATAGAATCATGAGAATAATGCAGCTCACCTTGGAAGGTACTTAATGTTCCACAACATATCATAATAAGGATTGCTCTTCTTTCCACCCACAGGTTGATTATTGAGGAAGAAGTGTGCTTGCTTGGCCTTCCTCTTACTCTTAAACTCGATCCAGCCTTCCGTGAAGCGTAAATTCTTGCTGTATTTTTTCCCTTGGCCTTTTTCTCTCTTCAAATCATTCACTGCCAAAGGATGTATCAGAAAAATAACACTTTGTAAAAAATGTTTTAAATGAAATATACTGTCATTGGAAGCGTATTTCAAGACAATATACTACTATATTATATCAGGTCAGAGAAAATAATCATATGATTATCTAAGCACTGAAAAATGTTACTGCTGAACAACATTGAACTGTGTCAAAGGAAATGAAAACATCAGTACCTTACTAAGTGCTGAACAATGTTACTGATGAACAACACTGAACTGTCAGAGAAAATGAACACATCAATACCTTACTAAGTAAATACTGAACATACAGTACTATTTGACTTATCAATAGAATGTAAATATTTGCCTAAATTTTAATTTCAGTAACTGTTTTGTCTCATAACTAACTTATTAATCATAATGTCTGACAAGTATCTCTTCAGCCTCTCAGTCTTAAAATATAAAGTGCTACCTCAGCACTGCTACTATCACATTACAGCCTCTCCTCGTTTAGTGACGTACTCGTTTACCAACAACTAGGACTTACGACGGGCTCTAACCAGTATTCATACGTAAATAATGTATATTGGAGCTGATTCCTCTATTCTGTTTATTACAATATACAGTACACTGCTGTATAAACATTTAAAAAGATACCAGAAATGTTATTAATGGTGGAAAGGTGATATTAAAAGAATATCAAAGATGGTTGACACAAACCACTACCATTATAGTATGCTCCTCACTTAGCGACGAATTTGTTTACCAATGTGGTCCTAGGAATGGAACTCTGTCGTTAAGTGAGGAGAGGCTGTACTGTTACTTTCACTGCTGGTATATTTACTACCATTACTCTTGTTGAGAGCATGGATGTCAGAATGGATGTGTCAGTGGCAGAATGGGTGAGTGTGGGTAACAGAATGGGTGTGTGGAGGGTAACAGAATGGGTGTGTGGAGGGTGACAGAGTGGGCAGTATGGATGAAAAACAGACAAGAGAATGGATGAGAAAATGGACGAGAGAAGGGATGAGAGAATGGACGTGAGAATGGACGAGAGAATGGACGGGAGAATGGACGGGAGAATGGACCAGAGAATGGATGAGAGAATCAATAAGAGAATCAACGAGAGAATCAATGAGAGAATGGGCGAGAGAATGAGGGAAAATCATAATTCAAAATTATTGCATATCAAGCCCATCATAATTCAAGGGACTGCAACACAACTAACCCACACGCCTTTGATATACCTTTGAAGAGTTTCGAGAGTTTCTCTAATCTCTGAGCCCGACCATGGGCCAGGCTCGTCTGGTGCTTGCCTGGTCAACCAGGCTGTTGCTGCTGGAGGCCCACTGCCCCACATATCCATCACAGCCTGGTTGATCTGGCACCTGGCGAAGATACCTGTCCAGTTTCCTCTCGAAGGCTTCTACGCTTGTTCCAGCCGTGTTTTCACACAGGAGAATGAAGCTTATAACAAAAGTTAGGTACAACTTGGACCATCAACAGTCACACTAGATAATAGTCTAAGTTGTATCAAACCATCATCCTAAATTTCATTCTCCTATGTGCAGATTATTTGTGTATTATTCCAGCCATGGTATTGTGCCTTTTTATTGAGCATGAGAACACTGTATGTATTCCTATTTTTCTGCTATGGTTAATACTCAGAGACAAGACAGGGTGATAAAAAGAAAAACAGTGAACACAAGAGTAAGTGGAATGAGTGGCTGCTGTATGGGGCTGTGAGTGAGGCAGCCAGCTGTTCCATCCAGCCAGCTGCACCATCTCAATGTCTCAACAAGCAGGGAATATCTTGTCACTCATGGTTTTCAACTATTAAATCTTTTACAGTGATACCTCGCATATCCAGCCTACCATTATCCGAATCTTGCCAATATCCGAACAGGCCCTGGGAAAGGGCAAAATTCTAAAATTATTACCAAAACATCCGGAAAAAAAGTTGGATACAGAGAAGGGTGAATCAAATTTTCACGCACTTTTGTGTACCATTGGCCACTAGGGCCATGCTCTTCACTGTTTTTTGTCCCAGCATCTTGGTATGGGACAAAAAAGGGGAGGAATGTGCTTACTCTAGAAAAAAGAGGAAAAAATTGTTTTTTTTTTTCCCCCCCCTTTTTTTTGCACCCTGGTGGGATTTGGGGGGCGGATTACACACAATTTTAAAAGTGTGACGACGGACAATACCCCCCTTTCCAAGTAGAAAAACTTCACGCAAAAATAGATGTGAAACACTTTTGGATATTTGGGGCATCCCCGTCCACAGCCCATTTGAAAATTTTTTTGGGCCCCGGGTCCGTGAAATCCCGGAGGTTTTTTCGAGCCCGAGCGTCTGGTTCCCCGCCAGACAGAATTTAATCGTTTTTTAACCTAAAACACCATTGCTATGGTGATGCAAGAGTTATGGATGGAATATGACAGTACGTGGGCATTTTTTTTTCTCCTTAAGTATCCGGAAACTTCGTGTTTCCGAACCGATCTTGGCTCATAAGATAACCTAGGACAACATAGGATAATCCAAGATAACCCAGAACAGCCTAGGACAACCCAGGGTAACATAGGACAACCCAGGATAGCTTGTCAACCTCATAGCCCAAGACAACCCAGGATAACCTATGACAACCCAGCATAAGCCAGGATAACCTAAGACAACCAGGATAACATAAGACAATCCAGAATAGTCTAGGACAACCGAGGATAACCTAAGACAACCCAGAATAAACTAGGACAACCTATAAGCCAGGACAACCAAGGACTATAAGTGAACTCAGAGAAGATACTCATGCAGGTTAGAAGCCGAGCTGCAGCTCCTGGACCTTACTAATATGTTCAAGTGGAAGCGCTAAACCAGCAGGGGCGACACAGCACACGTAGGTAGAGAGCAATAACGTAATATTAACTGACCATTGTTATCAGCTTGGAGGTAGACACGGTCTAGGTTGCCCACCATGCTGAAGTAATCTCTTATCTGAGTCACACTCATGTTGGGAGGGATGCACGACAGGTATATTATACCTGGCTTCCTCTTCACTCGTTTTTCCACTGAATTTTCATTAATTTCGCTCGTTATTGACTGTGCGTCTTCCATGTTGCTGCAGGCCGCCTGCCTCAGCTGTTGTTTACGTTGGGTTCGTGGGTAGTGACGGTCTTAGTAACGTTTCGGGTTGTTGCTGGTGTTGAGGTTTATAGGGCCACTGACAGCGTACGCCGTATCGAGCCATGCCTTCCAGCGCTCGGAAAAGAAACCTCGACCACAGTGTAAGTAAGTAAGTAAGTTTATTCAGGTATACACAAATACAGTTACATAGAATCATCATACATAGCAGCATATGTGTAGAGAACCTAGGATAACCCAAAAAAGACAGACAGAGTGACTTATTTCCATTGGGGTTGACTAGTAACTCTGCGTATTGTATGTCCTTAATGCACCCTGAAGACAGCAAGAATACGCAGGTACAAGCCAAGATCTCCTGACGGTCTGGAGGGTCAAACCCCTCCCCATTGAGAAGGAAAGGCAGGGTTAACGATTGCGTCCTGAATGTGCACAAGGCCGCACGGAGAGAAGTCCGTGCATAGTGGTAACTTGGGCACCACATTAGGAAGTGCTCTACCATCTCAGGCTGTGAGAGACACCATGGGCAGTACAAGGAGTCCGTCATCCGAAGGCGGTCAGATAAGCTGCTGGTCGTGAATGCCCAACTCGGAGACGAGTGACTACAGCATCCACCAAGCGACTGGGATGGCGAGCCCAAAAGCAGGGGCCACCGAAAGATCAGACAGAACTCAGTGCCGAAGAAGAGAGAGAGCATGCCAGATCCTCATGCCATAAATGGCGGATTTCCCTCCAAACAGTAATTGTGAAATCATTGCGCCCCAGTGCAAGAGGAGAGGGGTAATGATAGGAAGTGTGTGTGAGAGGGAGGCCACTCGATCAGCCACTTCATTGCCCTGAATGCCAACATGAGCCGGTACCCACTGCTATCCTTGATAATATTGCACCAGTTAGAGAGGTTAGGATTAAATGGAAAACCGAACCCTGGATAATTACTGAGATATTAGATATGAAATTCAGAGACCAGTTACTAACCATACCACGGATGGGGACAGAAACAGCGATCAGAGAGTCTCAGAACTCCAGACCGTCGCATTAGCCACTGGGCTAACACAGTTAGTTTAATATGTTTATTATGCACCCCATACCCATCCTGTGGGCGGTAGTCAAAAGATTACAGAGGTACATAATTGGTCCAGGGACTGGACTCCAAAGTTTTGATAGCTGAGCAAGTTACAGAGGTAATGAACTCACAATTTACAAAGGTAATGAACTCACAATTTACAAAGGTAATGAACTCACAATTTACAAAGGTAATGAACTCCAGGTAAGTCTGGTCACAATCATGACAAGTTACAAAGGTATTTACAGATTACAGAGGTACGTAATGGGTCCAGGGACTGGGCCCCCAAAGTTTTGATAGCTGAACTAGGTACAAAGGTAATGAGCTCACAAGTTACAAAGGTAATGAATTCTGTAGAATGGTTACTTACGTTTATACTTTGGCTACAATCATGAACAAATTATAGAGTAATGAGCAATTCACACTTCCACACCCGGTCACAACTGTAATGAGTTATTGGTGCAAATATTGATTGTTGAGTCACACACACCACCACCCACAACACACACACACACACACACACACACACACACACACACACACACACACACACACACACACACACACACACACACACACACACACACACACTTTAGTTTAATATCTTTATGCACCCCATACCCATCCTGTGGGCGGTAGTCAAAAGATTACAAAGGTACATAATGGGTCCAGTGACTGGACCCCAAAGTTATGATAGCTGAACTAGTTACAAAGGTAATGAACTCCAGGTAGATCTGGTCACTAATCATGGCAAGTTACAGAGGTAATGAATCAGCTTCACTCCTATACATGGTTACAGTCATGAACAAATTACAAAGTAATGAACCACTGATACGTCCACACCTGGTCACAATTGTAATGAGTTATAAATACAAATATTAAGTGGATCATACACCCACACTAGTGCACGTGCGCACATACACACACGAGGGGCTAACACAGTTGTGTCATTACGATTTCGTGAGTCATGTTGACGGCTTTGAGGGGACTTGAGCTAGAGTTCGTCACGGTCACGCTAGCTGGAGATTCGTCTGTAAAAACTTGCATTTGTGGTCATAGTCGTGCCTATGCTAACCTTCCTATGGTGTAGAAATATACCTAGTTGGATGAATCTTATTGTGCCTGGCTGGTCCCGGTGGCCTGGTGGCTAAAGCTCTCGCTTCACACACGGAGGGTCCGGGTTCGATTCCCGGCGGGTGGAAACATTTCGACACGTTTCCTTACATCTGTTGTCCTGTTCTAGCAGCAAATAGGTACCTGGGTGTTAGTCGACTGGTGCGGGTCGCATCCTGGGGGACAAGATTGAGGACCCCAATGGAATTAAGTTAGTCCTCGATGACGCACTGACTTTCTTGTGTTATCCTGGGTGGCTAACCCTCTGGGGTTAAAAATCCGAACTAAATCTTATCTTTGTCCAGTGGCTAATGCGACGGTCTGGAGTTCTGAGACACTCTGATCGCGGGTTCTATCCCCATCCGTGGTATAGTTTCTTTGCATTCGTGTCATTACGATTTTGTGAACCAGTTACTAAAAACCTTTACGGCAAACACAGGATATTGCAGTCCTAAATGAATTCCAAAGGGTAAGGAACAGAGTGCAGAGGCTTATAAAAGGAGCAAAGGCAAAACACTATTGCTCAAAAGTTGAAGAGTACAGCAATAACCCCAGAAAGCTTTGGCAACAATTAAAACAGTTGAGGTATAGCCATTAACCCGTAGATAGATCTAGCATAGAACTAAATATCGATGAACGAGGTATGCCACAAAACAGCTAAATTGGCAAATTGTTTTAATTCATACTACACATCTGTTGCATCAACACTAGTAAGTAAACAACCAGCTGCATCAAATACTTTTAACACAGACTCTGATAAGTTTAAAACATACTATACCAAGAAAGAGGTAACCCCAAACAGTTGTCAGTAAGCATATCTCATGACCTCGTGCGAAAAGAACTAAGCAGGTTAAACCCAACTAAGAGCACCGGCCCAGATAACATTCCGTCTAAGTTCCTAGAAGATGGGGCCTCTGAATTCCCAATCCCCATTGCTCATATAATAAATTTGTCCATCACCACTAATACCGTACCAGAGAGGTTCGAGGAGGCCAGAGTTACTCCTCTCTTCAAGAAAAATAGTAGGTCTGATGTCAACTATAGGCCTGTTAGTATACTCAGTGTGATATCCAAAATTCTAGAGAGGGTAGTGTACTGTCAAGTAGTTAAGTCGTGAAGAATTGAGACACTTATGCAACACATGGAAATCTTTATTGAAGAAACGTTTCGCCACACAGTGGCTTCATCAGTCCAATACAAAGTAGACATGGGTAAGGAGAGGAGAAATTTGAGGTAATCAGTCCCTCAGCCTGGAATCGATGTGTTCAGTCCATCACTCTTGTAGGAAATGCAGCATAGGGCCAGAGAGGTGGCTTATATACTGCAGTCAGATGAGGTGAAGCAGAAGGAGGCGGGATCACAGTGGGACCTGCCACTAGTGTAAGTAGGTCGTTGTCCAAAGGTTGGGCAAGCGTTGAAGTCTTTGTACCAAGATCCCATGATGTTGCAGTGTCTGACAGATGTGATGAATGGTTTAGAAAACCCATTTCTACTTTGTATTGGACTGATGCAGCCACTGTGTGGCAAAACGTTTCCTCAATAAAGATTCCCATATGTTGCACAAATGTCTCCAAGTTTAAAGCTGAATGGGAATCTAATTTCTTGCTTCCTTTCCATGATATTCATGTCCACCGCTCAGATACAGGTTTTGCCTTTTCCGTGTACCGCAAACCTATGCACAGTGGCATGTACATTCACTACTTTTCTTATGCTTCCTCTGTCAAGAAAAGTGTTCTTATCTCCCTCTTTCTCCGTGCTCACCGCATTTGTGATCCTCAGTTCCTCCCATTTTATAAACTCTGCCTTCTCACGTGCTAAACGGACTTTCTTCTCTCCCAAACTCTCTACTCCTGGGAGCTCTTCTGTCCTCTACATTTCCGGCCTTTCTAATCAACAACTCACTCCGTTCCTTAACCCTTAAACTGTCCAAACGTAGATCTACGTTTTTTCAACATTTGAAAGTATGTAAAAAAAAAGTAGATCTTTTCTTTTTTTACATTTGAAAATTCTTTCTAATTCTTTTTTTTTTTAAGAATGAATTAAAGAATTAACAACTGGGCGTCTACACTGCAAACTGAATTGTTTGCAATCCTAATGGCGCTAAAGCTAACCTATGACACTGAGCTTGACTCTATCATCATTACTGATTCTATGTCATCATTGAAGGCTCTTGACTCATATAATGACTCCAACAACATGCTCATTGGGGAAGCCAGGTATAGATACTCAAAAATTAGGGACAAAGGAATTAATGTACAATTGCTATGGATCCCATCACACATTGGATTGCTCCTTCATGATAAAGTTGATATGTTAGCCAAGAAGAGTATCCAGAAGGAGAACGTAGAATATAACTTTGGTATAACTGTGTCTAGCATTAGGAATAATATTAGGAGAGAAGTAAATAATGAAAATGATTGTTATAGGAATGCAGTTAGAAGCCTGAGTAGATCTATAACCCACTATGATAACATGAACGTAGATAAGTATGTTTATGGAGCAACGTGCAATGTGAACAGACTGACTGATGTTGTAGTGGCCAGGCTTAGGCTTGGTTACAAGTACTTCTGGCAGTTTGGGAGACACACAGATGATGATCAAACTAAATGTAAATTATGTGATCAGGCATATGGTCACTCTCTTGAACACTATGTGCTTAATTGTCCACTTATTGCAGATAGTATAATAACCTATGTGACATGTCAAGATATCTTATTAATGAAAATAAGATACAAGATATACTTAGCAAATTTCCTAAATTTGCTTGTAACAGATAAGTGAACTATAGATATGTAGATATAGATCCATATGAATTCCTGTTAACCCTTTGGGGCCTAGTACCTAGGCCTTTTGTGTATCCATATGCTCTCGCA